GAAACCGGTCGTAAAGTTGCTTCGAATTATTTCTAATAGTATCAAATCCACCCTCACCCACATCCATGCCCTCAAGATGATATTCTGTTTAGATCGAAAAATTTTCTCGAAATTTATTCTCGGAAATTGGTTGACCCATGAAACGAATATCCCACTGCCACTTGATAACATGATTTTATCTAGCAACATCGAAAATTTACCGGTTAAATTCGTGGTAGCTATACATATCCACATATTCACCCTCAATAATGCAAATATTCAATCGTAGGTGACATTCCTTTGCTGAATATGAAACTTCCTTTGCCTTCACCCTCAGTTAGAGTCTTATGTGTGAGACAGACAGATAGAGGGATATTAACATGAGCAGCAGCAGAACGGAATGAGAATGATTCGAAGAGTCAGTCAAGCGTATGGAAGAGCTATACGAATTCATGGAATCTCTAACAATTCATTTGGGTCTATAACTATTCAAGCGATTCTCTCTCTGATTATCAATATCATACCAAATTTTATATATGTTCGGTACAGAAGTTATATAATGGATCTGTAAAATTCAACTAACAGCTGTCTCGAGATATTCTTAGTTGTATTTTATATGAGTTGTCGATAATTGTTTAGCATCGATCGCTGAGTTTGAATGTTTTGTAGTTTTTTGCATTTATATATTTTTTGCCATTTGCTCGTTTTAGTTCGACACTGTATTGCGGTTCTTCTCATTGTGCATATCTGTTTTTGTTTGTGTGTAAAAAATAGACGAGTAATTCTTTTCGTATTTCGCAGTTATCTGCTCAGATTTTTTCCAAACTCTGAACTGAAAATTGAATGTATTATAGCCATTGACCTATATGTTCAATATTTTAGCTGATTTTTTGAGTGTGGTTTGCATTTTTCTCCATATCTTCAGAATATGCAAAATATTGCAGCTGAATGTGTTAAGGGAGAGAAAAGGCATCATAAATGATGTTTCATTTTTCATATGATTATGAGCATACGATGTGGCTTGCTGATACTTGCAGATTTAGTTCGAGTATCCTAACACTAATGCTTTCAGCTAATTTCAGAGCAACTTTTCGTCTTTAATAAGATGAAATTCAACCATCTGATGATCTGTTCCTCGTCAGGGAGTAGTGAAACCGGTAATGGTTACTCATACTTGAAGTTGTTATTTAATTACATTTA